GAGGTATAACTTGTCCCCAGAGTGGATGACTGAGCATTGCAAAGAGGTCCATGGTTTTCAAAGAATTTCATAGGATTAATTACATTCTAATAAAAAATCTCACAATTTTGTTTAATTCTAAAGTCTACCTGGAATGATCCAAATTTGTAAGAAGGGGTGTGTGTCTACATGTGTGTATGTGTGTGTACGTGTGTGTGTGTGTACGTGTGTGTGTAATTGCAGGTAAAAACAGACTAGAAGGGAATACATAGGAACATTAACTGTGTTTCTCTGGGTGGCAGATATGCAGATTTTTATTCTTTACATCCTCTATATTTTTTAAAGTATATGATACATACACTATTGTATGTTATATGTATGCCATTCTAATCCAAATAAATCAATAAATGCTAAACAATTAAGTTCATCAGAAAAAAATTGAAGACTAGATGAAAAACTCGTGAGCTTGTACTGCGGTTGTGGGTGAACACGTGTGCAAAGCGGGTAGAGTCCACTCCTCAAGAAATCGGGGGTTGAGGGAGGGGTGGGTGCATGGGCACAGGGCAGGGGCCTAAACCTGAACCTGACGGGGGAGGAGCTAAGCCCCGGGAGGGGTCCCTTGGTGGGGGAGGGGGCTTGTGGGGGGAGCAGGGGCAGCGCGCCCTCCTTCGTCAGCTCCGGTTCTCCTTTCATGAGACTGCTCTGCCCGTCCCTCTGGTATGATTGGAACAGACCGACTTCCAGAGTCTTCTTCAGGTCGCACTGTTATCGCCGCCAGGACAGACTCTTCCTGTCTGCTGCTCTGCGGACTGATGGACGCCAGGCTCCCTTGGTCCCACGCGCTTTCCTTCTGGTGTCGTCTCCTGCAGGGGTCTCTCCTGCCTGGACTCTGGGCTGGGAAGCGCTCCCTGGGCAGTGGGTCCCTGCGGTTTCGGCCCCGGTCCTGGGGATAAACTGAGCCCACACTTAGAGCTCGATGTGGAGCTCCTGCCCGGCACAGCACGGCGACTCTGGGCCTGCTCGCGCACACATACGGGACGGCTCCCAGACCCACAGGAATGACCTGCTTTGGCCCTGGCCTTGGGTGGGCAGCCCGCTTCTGCCACAAACCAGGCCGGAGGGTGGAGATTCTGCAGGCCCTGCTTGCTGGCACACAGCCCATGGTGGCCAGTGACGCTTTCTTTTCAGTTTTGAGATATTTTCATTTCTGCTCCACTAGAAATTTCCTTTTATTATTTCCAAATGCTTCCAAACACACATCCTGTGCTTGTGTGTGTGTTTGCACACACGTGTGTGCATGTGTGTGCGCATGCATGAGAGCGCGTGGATGCGTGCATGTGTGCGTGCGTGCGTGTGCACACACGTGTGTATGAGTGTGCATGTGTGTGTGACGGTGTTTCACTTCATGTGCCCAGAGCTGAAGAGGAAGGTTTCAGTACAAATTCAGTCACAACCCACAGAACGAGCTATCCTACGCTAGAGCCACAATCACAAGTAAAGGGGAGAAACCAGAAGGCCAGTGATCAGGAGGCAGGCTCTGGAGTCCAAGGACCAGGTTCAAGCCCCAGAAATGGCCCTACCAGCTGTGCGACACGGACAGGCGACTTACCCTCTCTACGCCTCTTTCCTCATCTGTCAAGTGGGGGTCATGAGACAATCCCTCCCTCGGGCTGCCGGGAGGATTCAGTGAGACAGATGCCACAGCAACGAACACGGCCCTGCCTCCAGAGGGGACACCCAGGATAGCCCAGCAACTCTGCTTCCCCTGAAAGTTGGGAGCAAGACGAGGGTGTCAGGCATCAGCAACAAATAACCTTGTTCAGGAAGTTCCAGAAACTGAAGTGAGAGGATGTAAATAAAAACTCTAGACAAAGGAGCAGACTGTCACAGGCCGCCCTGCCTGGGACACAGACTCTGAGATGAAGGTTTGCCTGCAGGAAGTCTGTCGGGAAGCGCTCTGGGGTCAACACCGGTGGGGAGCGAGGCAAGCAGGGTTGAGCGGAGGGAGTCTGCAGGAGGCCCTCGGTCAACGCCCCGGAGAGCTCTGGAGCTGGGAGGGCCCTGCAGCGCTGTCCCACGTCAACCAGTCCTGGGACGTGTGCTGCCACCATGCAGGAGGCACAGTCGTGGTTGAGGCAATGACTTTGTTTGAGAGCAAGTCTTGGAAGGAACTCAGCTGAGAGCTCCCGGTCACCAACACGCCCGGTGCTGGGGAAATGAGTGCTTCAGTCCTGGAAGGGGACCCGGGTGGCCACAGCGTCTGTTCCAGGAGCAGACATTTGTTGACTGGAGACGCTACCAATGTATGCAGAAACTCGGAGGAACCAACTGAAAAAACATTCCGACCACACCGTGCTCAGTGAAGCGGTCAGACAGAAACACAACATTCATCTTCCTGGGTGTCAGCGAGGACCTCTCAGAAAATGTAAAGGGGACTGGGGAGACTCCTGACGGCAGGAAAACCTTCCTAAGGAAACGTGCAGCTCCACGGATGATTATTGCAACACCACGTACGACAAAAATTGCAAAGCTGCATTCCCAAAAGAAAAGGATCCTTTGAGTCACAGGTGGCAGAACCAGAGGTGGAATATCATTCCTTTATAAACTGTATTTTCAAAGGCTATGTCATGACCTCGGTAAGTTCTCATCACATATTAAGTGGGGGGAAAAACCCAAAGAGGCTAACAAGGAGTACGTACGCTGTGATCTCATTTCGTACAAAAGAAAGGGAAATGGGGCACATGGACAGGTGTGGGGCTTGCTGGGGTTCCAGTTTTGCTTGGCAGATGGCCTGTACGACGTGGACCCCACACTCCCAGCTACTGTCTATTGTGCTGTCCTTCTGGTCAACCCCAAGCAGCTTCACGCCCAGGCCCTGGGCAGCTGCTGGGGACACGGATCAATCCATCGGCTCTGCCCCCAAGGAGCCCGCAGTCTGGAGGCAGAGACAAACAGAAGCTCAACACCAACACAAGACAGGCTTTTAATGAGTGTCCCCTGGGTGGGTGTGCGGATGTGGGAGCACAGCCTGCAGACCCCGACCGGCCTCGTTGTTCAGGAGGGTTTCTCAGAGGAGGAATGCCTGATCCTAAACACAGGACTAAGAGCACGGAGGGGAGGCAGGAAGAAAGACTGAAGAGGGTACAGTGATGGGAACAGAGAGCCCGCCTGCCTGAGCCGTTGAGAAGCAGCATTGGAAGGCCTTGGAAAGCAGGTGTGGGATGAAGGAGGCAAGGCAAGGACGACACCCAGGTTCCTGGTCTGGGGGCGACGTGGACAGAGCCACCGCTCGCTGAGATAGACCCTCAGAGTCTTCAGAGCACAGGATGCAATCCCACCAGGTTGGGCACCTGGGAGCTCAGGGCAAGAGCAGAGTTCACGCAGTCACTGAGGATGCAGGCCCTGCTCCACCCAGGCTCCTGGTCTCCAGCCTCCAGCTGGGCCCCACACAGGGGCTGGTGGGGAGGTCAGAGCTCCGCACCTCCACAGCCAGGCACAGCGGGTGGCCGGGTCCCTGTAAACCTCTCAGGACCAGCCATCTGGGGACAGGCAACAGGTCACTCTGTGCCCTCTAGACTTTTCCATAGCAGAAGACACTGACTAGGCAACAGTCCAGCCAGCTGGGACGCACATCTTTACCCTGTTCCCAAACCTCCCACCAGTCAGAGAGAGATGGCAGGTGGAAACCCCAGAGGCAAGGCCTCCTGCCGGCAGGAAGTCAGGGCCGCCCCATCCTCCCATCTCCCGCCCGCACACAACGCCCAGAGCCATCAGGCCTTTCCGAGCCCCACGCCTGTCACCAGGATTGGGGAAAATCTTAGCATTCATTTTTTAAGTTCATCTGGGGATACAGATAAGAAGATCTGAAGGGGGAGAGCCCCACTAGATATGAGCACAAGCTCTAAGACCACAACTGTTAATAGAGGGAAGTCGTGGGGGGGGGGGCAAGTAAACGGACGGACAGATAAAAGGAAAGTCAGCCTATGACAGATTCTCGAGTGTGATAACGGAAACAACACACATCAACGAGGGAGAGAATCCAATGTCTCATCTCAGGATATTTGTTTAAATATTTGGAAAAAAGTCCATTTAGAGCCTCACCTTACACTGTACGCCAAGTTAATTCCAGAAACAACTGCTGATCAGTTCCAGAGGGAAAAACAGACCTTAAGTCTAAAGCAATGAAAGAAACCACAAAGGAGCAGAGGGAGGGGGTCGCGGGACCACCTTGCTCGTCTCTCCTCGGACAGCGGGCCCTCCCAGGGGCTGCGAGGTAAGTGTCTGCGTGATAACACTGCGTGATAACACTGCGTAATAATTATTGCGTAATAATGCGCAACTGTCTTCGTGATAACACATTCTGAGCCTTTTCCGCTCTATCTCACGGGTGTACGTGGAATTTCTCAGCGGCCATGTGACGTGCAAGCTCACAAAGGATCATGTGCAGAAGCCGGTCTGGGACTCCAGCTGTCTTCTGTTAAACTAGACGTCAAATTTGCAAAAATGTTACCACCACTTTTCTCGCTAAATTTTTTGTTTTGGAAAACAGAGTTTTCATGAAAATATTCTATTTATGCTGACATGTAATGAGTTTATTTTCAAAATAACATTTTAAAACATTCTCTATTTTAATTTATAATATGGTAAACATTTATAAAACCCACATAGGCAGAAGCTCTTTGGGGCTCTCAATGATTTGTAACAAAGGTACAGAGGGATTCGGAGACCAAAGGCTGGAGGGCGGCTCCAGTCCCTCAGCCGTCCAGCAGAGCCTGTGGCGGCCGCCCATGGGCCCCAGCACCAGCACACCCGCTGGAGCTACCATCTGACAGATGTGTGCCAGGCACTCGCCACAGGTGCAATGACACAGCCGCGAACAGGAAGGACAGAGATGTGCCACCTCGTGTCGCGGCCTCGTGGGCACAGTGCCCAGTGGGGAACAGATCAGCTACGTACCAGTCAAAGTTTCAGTAAGTTAAAACACACATAAAAAAGTAAAAGCTGGAAACATGTGCAGCAAATATGACACACGACAGGTTAATATCTTTAATATACAACGAGCTCATACAAATTTATCAGACCCCAGTAGATAAGAGCAAAGGACACCGACACCCACAAAAGAGGAAACACACTGCTTCACATGAAGATGTTCATCTCTGCTGGAAACCAAAGAAATGCAAACTGAAACTTGCTATTTTTTCATTATCAGATCAGCAAATACTTAGCGAGATGATAACACTCAGTGCTGGCAAGATGGTTAAACGGGCACATCTGTCTTTGCTGGTGGCAGTGTAAGTGGATACAAAGGTTTCTGGAAACCATTTCGTCAATAGGTAATAAGAGCCTCAAAGGTTTTCATATTCTTTAATTCAATAACCCCACCTCTGGGAATCCACCCTAAGGAAATAAAACTCGACATTGGGAAAAAGATTTGTGCACGAAGATATCCATCGATTTGTGACAGTGAGAAATGAGCAACAGCACTGGTGCCCACCACTGGCACGACTGCCGCAGGGGCACACAGCCATCCGAAGAACAGCCAGCCGCAACGGGGAGTGCCCGTGCTCTCGGTACAGGACTACAACTACGCTGGACTAAAAATAGAAGCCCTGATGGGGCGGGGCAGCCTGGAATGAGACACAGAAATATTAAGTTTTTACTTTTTTCTCTTTCTTCTTTATTTTCCAAAATTTCTATAATGTGTAGCTTTGCTTTGATGATGAAACGACCTGGTGGGTTGTGACTTGTTTACAGAAAGGAGATAGTGACATCGCGGTGAGGACTGGGGTCCCTCCCATCTTCTCTATTGCGTGCGTGCTGTGTCAACCGCCACCATGCCCCGTGCTGGGACCCTGAGGGGCGACACGGGAGACCGCAGCTCGCTCACTCACAGTGCATGACCGACCTGCCCTAAACCCGTCTTCTCCCTACGCTGCAAGTTTCTGCTGTGTCCCCAACAGCCTGCTCTCCGCCTTCTTGCGGAGCCCCACCTGGGTCTTCACCTCTGAGCCCTGGACCTACCGCTTCCTGTGCAGGAGGCGACCTTGGTCATACAGCGCTGGAGGGAGACGGCAGGGACCTCCGCCAGGATCTCCCCCTTCCCACACAGAGCCCCACCTGGTAGCGTCCCAGCTGCTGCTGGCTCCCTTAAGGGAAGCTAAGTCCACGCCCACCCTCCCCACGTGTCTGTCCTCCTAGAGGCCTGACCACCTGGAGTGCGGCTCCAGCGGGGTCCTGTGGCCCCGACAGCAGAGGCTGGTGCATCAGGAAAGCCTCACCTGCCCTTGACGGGGTGTTTCTGCTCGTCTCATCGTTACTCACTCGTCACATATTCACCTGGGGCCCACGAAACGGGTCTTTGCCTTTCCCTAGACGTCACCGAAATGCTTCAGGACATTAAGTTAACGCCAAGGCCCCTCTGTTAGGCCAAGAAGCAGCACTTACTCTATTCTCACCTCCAACGACACCGTCAACAAGGAAGCTTACTTACCAGAGGGAGCGCCACACAGACCAGAGAGCAGTCACAATGGAGGCCATAGTGTCCACACCACGAAAACATAAGCTCCCCTCCCATGCACCATCAACACTGCCTGTCCCTTTTACAAAGCAACGCCTGTCCCCTTGGACGTAGAGAAGTTATAGCCCAAAATGTACAACAATGAAAGTTATACCCCCCACCTCCGTCTGCGTGCGACCCTCCCGGTCACATGGTCCGGCTCCGGGCTGCAGGAGCTTGATCCCATCCTCTGTGGCAGGGGACCAGGTGTCTTCCAGCAGAGCCACAGAGGGCGCCCAGTGTGGAGCTTCCCCCGAGGGCAGTGCAGGGCTACCCCGAGCCTCTCTCACATGCTCGTTTCCAACGTTGCAGGGAGCTGTCAAGGTCGCAGATGTGCAACAGCACCAGTCCTAAGGCCACGAACGCCAGCACCAACAGGTGGAACGCAGCCACATCACCGAGACAAATGAAGCGAGTGGCAGCCTCGACTGGGCACATCCCAGGCGCAAAGGGGTGGGCATGGCCGGCCCCGGCGGCTCTGGCCCTGGGACGAGCCGCACAGCTGAAAGGAGCGCCTAACACCACAAACACGGCAGGTCCCAAAACCACCCGGGCCGACCCAGGGCTGGCGGGTGGCAGATCCTGCCGTCCCATGCAGGGTCTCTGCCCTGGCTGGGCTGCACCCCACGGAAACCTTCAAGGTGTCTGTGACCCCCCCACCGGCCTCCTTCTCCCCAGGTGCCACTGTACCCCTTCATCTGCAGGCAGACAGAAGACGACTGAGCACAGAGAAAGCAATCTGCACACCCCCCATCAGAGGTCCCACCCCCAGAATGGTGGCCCCACCGTGTGTCCTCCACATTCATGCTTAATGAGCACCATGGTCCCACCTGAACAGCCTCAGCTGGAATCCAGGGGGCCTGAAGCCTGTATTCAGGCAGTTGTTGAGCAGGGCAATTGGGCTAACAGAGTACAATGAGCAGGTGGCAGTGGTCCACGACCCCCAGCAACCACTGAATGCCCTTGACCTTGCGAGGCAGCAGTTGCTTCAGGAACGCAGTCACTTCCCAGCATCGTCAAAACTCTGAGGAAGAGGATGGGCCCCAGGACCCAAGCTCCGGGTATCCCAAGACACAGGTCTTTGGGTGGGCGCGGAGGCCGTGGTTCTCCAGTCAAGCCAGGACCACCCAGAGTGGGCAGGTGAAGCAGGGCAAGAGCGCCCATGCCCCGCGGTCCAGGCGGCCCCGTAACTGCGCTCCCTTTGGCACTAAAAGATGGCGGGGCGTCACTGCTCCAAAGGGCCTGGCCCAGTCTCACCAAGAAAGTGACCTCTGGGTGGGCCCCGCGAGGAGGCATGAGGCCACACACCCCCAGGAGGTACAGCTCTGTCCCTCAGAATTAGGACACGAGTGCCAGCTCTGCAGTGGCACCACATTAGGACCAAGGCAGTCCGCAGCCCTTCTCCTTTACAAATGTGCCAAGGCCCTGGGTGGGGTTGCCAGAGGCAGACACCACCTGCCTCAAGCGCTAATGCTGCGGCCCAGAGGAGCTGGCTCTCCAGCCGTCAGAGCCCAGGGCTTCTCGGACCAAGCCTGGAACCTGAGGGCCAGCCCAGATGTGGGGAGGCAGGCTCCATGGAGCTCCAGAGACGCAGAGACGGTGTGGGTGGCTGAAAGGGCAGAGGCGAAGGCCACACGTCACCTGAATGGAGAAGGGAATGAGGCTCAAGCTAGACGAGGCCCACCACCAAGGGACAAAGAGGGGGAGACTGCACACTGGCAGCTGGGGTGAGGCCCACTGGAGGTCCAGGGCAGCAAAGCGGGCCACGAGCGTCGCCCCCAGCCTGCAGTGGCCTGAGGCGTGGACGTGCAGGGACGTGCTGCCTGTCGGGCCTTGATGCAACTGCCCAGTGTCCACAGTCACAACGACCCTCTCTAGCAGGTGAGTTCCAGAGTCCCCCAAATTCCTGGTGCCATCGGAACACTGGCAGCTACAGCCAGGTGCTAATGGAGGTGCACGTTCCAGGGGCTCCTCCTGTTAGCTGCGATATCGGTCTTTCCCAGGGGCAGCAACGGCCATAATGACTGCGTGTTTATGTGCAGAGTGAACCTGCCCCCAGAAATGCTGGAACCACACCCCCAGCAGGGGTCACCTGGCTACTGACAGCAGGGACGAGGCCCCTGCCTGCAACGCTGGGCCCTGGCAGGGCAGGTGATCACTTATGGGCAGGAAGCCAGACCCTGCTCCAGGTACCCACACCAAGCCACCAGCCTGGCCAAAGCTGCTTCTGTCTGTCATCAGTGAGGTCACGGCAAGCAGGCAGGGAGCTGCTGTGGGGGCCAGCAGAGGGTGGAGTAGGAGCTGCCACGACCCTGGTCACGCCGGGAGAGGTCAGCCCCAGTGGTCCGCAGGGTGCCGTGGAGTCGCTGTGACCAAATAGCAGAGCTGTGGTCACCAGAGGAGCTGGGGCTGCAGGCAAGAGAGGGGAGACCTGCGCCGCGGTGCAGGTACGAAGCTGGTAGTACACTAGGAAGCAAGGTAACAGGGCGCCCAAGAGCCAGGAAGGAAGATCTCCTTAGGGAACAGGTGTGGAGAGGCTGGAAGGGACGTCTTCAAACAGCAGCGATGCTGTCGCACGCACGTTTCTTCTACGCAGCAGAGGGTGTATGCTACCTGGGTGGCTGCATATGCGACCAGGGTGGCGGCCGATTCTTAAAGGTTCCGCGCTCGGGTGGGCAGGGTGGGAGCTGGACTCGTCCCGCTGGAGGCGGGGTGCACGGGGCAGGGCCCGGTGCCCGTGGCGGCCAGCTGGCGGCACAGCATCTGCCGTTCACGCACAGCCCGATTCGAGGCAGAAGTCTTCCTGATTTGGGCGCGCCGTGCGTGCCGGAGAGGGGACTTGTAGGTTCGACGCAACTCGGCCAGGAAGCCCTGATAGTTGTTGCGCAAGGGGCTGTCAGGCTGCATGTGGGGGATGGCCCACTTCTCTGCCTCCCCCGTCAGCCGGGACACCAGGAACGCCACTCGCTCGGCCTCACCCGGGAAGCGGGAGGCCTGGAAGATCATAAACCTGTCCATCTGCATCAGGAACCCCGCCAGCTGGCCGGGGTCTCCGGAAAACGGTTCGGGCAGAGAGGTCGGAGGTGTGGTCATGGGTCGGCTCCCGTTGGAGGTGATGGCCGAGATGGGCGGCGTGATCTGCAGCGCCCCCGGAATCCGAGCCCGGGTGCGTAACAGGGTCAGCTCGGCCATCACGCTCTCCAGCATGTTGGTGAGATTGGCCTTTTCGGCCCGCAGGGTGGAGGCCTCCCGCCGGAGGGCAGAGTTGGTGAGGCGCAGGGAGGTCAGGGTGTCGATGACGTCATCTACCTGGGCACTGGCCGAGGCCGCAGGGGCCGGGGATTCGGCTTTGGAGGTCTGGGGTTGGACCATGTTGGCCAGAGGTCAGCCAAAGACTGAGACGGACGGGGCGCGAGGGGCGGGTATGGGAAGCCCCGAGCGGAGCACCTGCGATGCTGGAACCGGGGAGGCCCGAGCAGGGATCAGGGAGAGAGCGGGCTCCGAGGGGACCAGAGAGAGGGCAGCGCGGCCGGGGCAGCAGGCGGTGCAGGCCGCTGGGCCCCCGGACTCCGGGATGCGCTCCTCTATCGCGGCCCTCGCCAGGCCCAGGCGGCTGCGCGGGAGGCTGGATCGTCCCGGGCCCTGAAGGATTAAAAAAAAGGTTTTTACGAGGGTTTCGATCGCAGGAAGGGGCCGGGAGGAGGGGGACGCGGCGCGGGAGGCCGAGCTGGGGGTCAGGGGAGGGCGCCCACCGGGCAGAACAAAGGGCGGCCGCCCCCGCGACGGCGCCGGGCCCGGGGCGCGCGTGTACCTGGCTCTCCGCGCTGGCTCCGCGGCTCCGTCTGCCGCGCCGGCCGCCACCAAGATGGCCCGAGCGGGGGACGCGGCGGCCGATGCGTCACGGCGGCGGCGGCCCGCTGGAACTGCTTCCCGGTCAGGTCAGGCCGGCGGCGGGGGGCGGGCCGAGCGGGGCGGCGGCGGGGCCGGGGGCGCGGCGGGGCGGGGCGGACTCGCGCGGGCCCCGCCGGTTGCCATGGAGACGCCCGCTCCCGCGCGCGCGGCGGCCGACGTCCTGCCCCGGAAGTGGCGTGAGCTGCCCCGCCCCCTCCAGCGCAGCCCCGCCTCCCGGGCACCTGCTGCGCGTCCTTCCTCAGCAGCCAATCAGCGATGACCGTGGATACTGTTATGTTGTTATTTCGCGGGGCGCCTTCCTTGTTTTTCTGATTATTCCCAGCACTGCTTGCAACGCTCCTTTTGTATATATTGCAATTATTTTTTTAAAAGGAAGCTTGCTTTTCCTATTGTGACTGGAATACAAATTCAATGTAGTATATACTCGTAGCAAATTTTGGTGTCGCAAAAGTCTTAGGAAAAAACCCTTTAAATCACTCAGAGTCGGTCCACTTGGAGGGAGCACATAGTACTATTTCTATAGCTCCATCTAGTCATTTTTCTATGATATATCTTATCACAAAATATTAATTTTTGTACCTTACGAACTATTTTGTAACCTTAATGACACACTGAAATTTGAACATTTTCCTGTTAAAGATGCATGATTTTCAATTTTAAATTGCCTAGTGGTACACTAAAATCGTGTACCGCAATTCATTTAACCATGCTCCTTTTGATAAATCTCTACCACATTTTCCATGTGCAAGTTTTATAAACCACACTTATATATAAATCCCAGCCCCTGTCTATGCTGTATTCTCCGGGGTACACGCCAAGGAGTGGAACTACTGGGCCAAAGAGTGTGAACTATTCGGACTTAGGATCTGGATGGCTTTCCTGCTTGACCTTGCTGAGCTGCTTCTGAAAGGTCGGTTCTAGGCTGAGGCATGGCTGGAAAGAGAGGACACCCACCACCATGCCAGTCTTTGCAGGACATGGTCTTCAAGGAGACTGAACCGTTGGCAGCCACCTGTGCTCCTCAGGTAGGCCTCTGACAGAGTCCGGTTCACTCATGCCTCATATCACTGGTGCAGCCCCAAACTGCTGGGGTGGGGAGGGAATGTCAAAGGGGGAGGAGGGTTGAGTACACAGACAGAGAAAGAAAGTGAAAGACTGATTTTTACCCAAAAATGAGCCTAAAAATAAAAACTCTGAAGCCCATGAAAACATCTAATGCTAAGAATAATGGCCAACAAAATCAATTATCATAATATGAATTAACTCCAGATGAAATTAAAATAATAGAACAGTCTGAAAAAAGACTTTAAAGTAAGCATATTTAGCATCCTCTTTGCAAACAAGGAAGGAATAACATTTGTGAAAAGAACAGATGTTGTGGGTGGGGGAGAGGGGAGGCAGAAATGGAACAAGATGAGGTGGCCGTGGAGAAGTCCGTTTTGAAAGGAGGTATAGTCACCTTCCACTTCCAGGAAGATGGGGTAGGTTTACTCTTCTCTATTCTTTCAACAAATCACAACTGAGAAAAATCAAATGACTCTACAAGGTGGAGAGAAAAAGGCAGACTGGCTGGGTGGCTCAGGGCCCAAGGAATGACAGAGTGGTGGGTTTGCTGGGTATCCTTTTGCATCATATCTCTCAAACTTAGAGCTTAAGAAGCTGGCAACCTGGCATTGCCAATGGGTGCAGACCAAACAGCTTCCCCAAAAGGCCTGCTCTCTCAAGCCACAGAGCCAGGAAAGGGACAGGCTAAGAAGACAGAAAACTTTTAGACAGTAACCACTCTACTCCCACCAAACACTGCAGGAAAATTGATAGCCCCACCACCACCTGTGCCAGCAAAGGCTGAGTAGGGAGCCTAGACTTCCACCCTTGCCAAGCTAAAATGAGGTGCCCCCCCCCGCTCCCCAGCTGGAGTGGTATCAGAGAAGGCCAAAAACTTCTCAAGTTTGATGAAATGCATTAAGCTGCACATCCAAGAAGCCCAACAAACTCCAGGTAGGATAAACTCAAACACCTAGACATGTCATAAGTGAACTCTCGAAAGTCAAAGACAAAGAGAGACTCTTGAAAGCAGCAAGAGAGAAGCAAGTGATCCTGGGTAAGGTGTTGTCAATAAAATTAACAGCTGGTTTCTCACAGCATAAATGTATTTCTGTTTGTAACTCTTATTTCTCCTGTCTTATTTAAAAGACAACTGCATAAAGCAATACTTAGAAATCTATATTGATGAGCGTACAAAAAAAAGTAATTTGCATGACAATAATAGCACAAAGGAGGTTGGGAGGAGATGGAGATATTTAGCAGCAAAGTTTGCTAAACTATCGAAATTAAGTTGGTATTAATCCAAACTAGATTTTTATAAGTTAAGATGTTAATTGTAATCCTCAGGGCAACCATTAAGAATATAACTCAAAAAATATGTAAAAGAAATGACAAGGGAATTAAAATGGTGCACTAGAAAATATCTATTTCATATGAAAAAAGGCAGTAGAGGAGGAATAGAGGAACAAAAAAATAGAACTTATAGAAAACAAATAACCTAATGGCAAAGGAAACTCTACCTTCTCAGTAATATATTAAATGTAAATGGATTAAACGCTTCATTTAAAAGGCTGAGATTGGCAAAATGGACTTTAAAAAATAACCCAACTCAGTGCTGTCTGCAAGAGAAACACTTCAGAGTCAAAGAAACAAATGAGTTGAAAGTAAATGAGTGGACATCGATAGACCATTCAAACTGACCAGCAGAGAACTAGAGGGGCTATACTAATAACAGACAAAACAGAGTCTAAGACAAAATTGTTACTAGAGAAAAAGGAAGACATTTTGTAATGATAAAAGGATCAATCTATCAAGACAACTTAACAATTTTGTATACACCTAACAACAGAGCTCGGATTACATGAAGCAAAACCATACAAAAACAAAGGGAGAAATGGGTAATTCAGTGATAATAGTGAAAGACTTCAATATACTTTCAATAATGTACAGAACTATACAGCAAGGAAATAGCAGACTTGAACACACCATAAACCACCAGACCTGAGAGAGATCTGTGAAACCCTCTGTTCAATGACAGAACACACATTCTTCTCAAGGACGTTCTCCATGATGGGCCATATGTTAGGCCATATGACAAGTCTCAGTGAATTTGAAAGGGCTGAAATCATACATGGCACGTTCTTGAGACACAATGACGTGAAGTTAGAAATCAACAACACAAGGAAATTCACAAATGTGTGGAAATTAAACAACACAGTCTTAGCAACTCTTGAATAACCACTGGATCAAAGGAGAATTCCTAGGGAAAGTTAGAAAATATTTTGAGGCTAATGCAACTGAAACATAATACACCAAAATGCATGGGATATAGCAAAAGAAGGACTTAGAGGGAAGTTTAAAGCTGTGAGAGGCTATGATTAAAAAAAAGAAGAAAGATATCAAATCAATAACCACACCTTCCACCTTGAGAAACTAGAAAAAAAAAAAAAAGAGCAACTAAACTCAAAGCAAGCAGAAGTAAATAATAAAGATTAAAGCAGAGATGCAAAGTAAGGAAAAAGAAAAACAATAGATATAATCAGCAAAACCAAAAGTTGATTCTTTGAAAAGACTGACTAAATTGACAAACGTTTAGTGAGGCTAACCAAGAAAAAAAAGAGGAAAAACTCAAATGCTGAAATAAGGAATGAAAAAGGGGACATTACTACTGGCTTTACAAAAATAAAAAGAATTATAAGGGAATATTACAAACAATTGTATGCCGACAAATTAGATAATCTGGATGAAACGGATAAATTCTTAGAAAGACACAAGCTACTGAAACAAACTCAGGAAAAAATAGAAAATCTGAATAGACTTGACAAGCAATGAGAGTTAATTAGTAATCAAAAACTTCCCGCAAAGGAAAACCCGGGGTTGGATAGCTTCCCTGGTGAATTCTGCTACACGCTTAAAGAAGAATTAACACCAATCCTTTTCAAGTGCTTCCCAAAAGTAGAAGAGGAGGGAAGACTTCTCTGGTCATTCCTGAGGCCAGTGTTACTCTGTTACCAAAACAAGACAAAAACGTCACAAGAAAAAAAAAGACAGGCTAGTACACCTTATGAACATAGACTCAAAAATCCTCAACAAAATGCTAGCAAACCAAATCCAGCAACAGTTTTAAAAGATTTTCCACCTTGACCAGGTAGGGTTTATCCCAGAAAGGAAGGATTCGTTCAACCCACAAAAATCAACCAATGTATACATCATATAATAGAATATAGGACAAAAACCGTATGATAATCTTAATAGACATTTGAAAAGCATTTGAAAAAATCCAGTACCCTTTCGTGATAAAAACACTTAACAAACTAGGGATAGAAGAAGTAAGAGTATCTCTATTCACAGATGACATGATCTTATGTATAGCAGATCTAGGAGAATACACACACACACACACACACACACACATACACACACACACACACACACACACATACACACATACACACACATACACACACACATACACACACACACATACACACACACATACACACACACATACACACACACACACATACACACACACGTACACACACACACACAACCACTAAAGGTCATACACAAGTACAGCAAGGTCGCGGGATGCAAAATCAATATGTTAGAAATCAATTCTATTTCTATATGGTAGCAATGAACATTCTAAAAATCAAATGAAGAAAATATTTACATTTAAAATAGCATCAAAGAGGGGCCGGCCTGCTGGTGTAGCAGTTACGTTCTCGTGCTCCGCTGCGGTGGCCCGGGGTTCACTGCTTCGGATCCTGGGCGGGGACCTGTGCGCCACTTGTTAAGCCGTGCTGTGGCAGGCGTCTCACATATAAGATAGAGGACGGTGGGCACAGATGTTAGCTCAGGGCCAGCGTTCCTCAGCAAAAAGAGGAGGATTGGCGGTGAATGAGAGCTCACGACTAATCTTCCTCAAAAAATAAATGAATAAAATAAAATAAAATAACATTAAAGAGAATAAAATATTTAGGCATAAATTTAACAAAAGGAGTGTAAGACA